GGGAGTGAGGGATGAAGGCCTTTGTTGAGGGGGATGGGGGTGGCGTGTTTGTGTATTTACAAACAGCAATTGCAGATCGGCCTCTCAACTCAACAGAGATGCTGGAGCTGTTATCTTTTCAAAAGGCAACTTTAACTTCTAAATGCTCCTCTTGGTCCTAAATACTCTGAAGTCAAGTAAAACCACCTTCTCTGAAATCCTGCTGCTGAGGATGAGCTAACGTTCAACAGTGCTACCATCTTGTGACCCTATGCAGCTACACGAGAAAGTAAGACTCACATGAAACAACGTTACCAGATGCAATGAGGCAGACAAACAACTTACACTTCTAGTTGTCAAGCTCTTTGCTACCTTTCGACTTTAAAGTGACAGATATTTTGCTTTAGTTCCAATAAGGAAGTTTTCTTTAAATTGTTTGAAAGATAAAAGGAGCAGAATTTGGTATAAAAATAATAGTGTGGATATTTGGTGCCCCAAGTTATTTTATGTTGATATCTAAAACGTTTCAGGCTAAGGATGTGCAGTTAAAGGAATAAATCTGAAAATCTTCCATGCACTGCTCCTCTGGACGTTGCACAAAAACTTGTGGCTACCCCGTTCAAACATCACGGATGATATGACATCCTTAAATACAGAGTAAACACTTCAAAAAAAAATTAGGGCTTTTCCATTTAATTTAAGTGGGAAAGTCTTAAATTAAATGACGAAAAACAAGTTGCTGCAATTGAAAATCGATTTTTCACGAGTGTGGAGTCTCATTCTCACAAATATTAATAGTTGCAGATGCTTTTTCAAATTGAGTTTTTGTACTTTTTATTCATCTTTATTCTCTCTTGGTTTTAATCCAATCCAATTTGCATTCCTTGCTCAAGGCTCTGTATTCTACACTAACCACTTAGACTGAAGATTTGTTTAAGACAAACACAGTTGCTTGTCCAGTTCACAAAGTTCCCAGATGCCATGTAGAGGGCACCACATGTATTCCATCTCCCACATGCATCCCTTTCTGCAAATGCTCATACAGATGGGCAGGGACAAACTTAAAGGGTGAGCACCATCCTTTTTGGATTGCAGCCAATTCAGGCCAGTATTGTTAAATTCATCATCAAATATAACTAAAATTGGACCTCATTTACAGTGCTAGAACAAGCAGGATCACGGAAAGAGGTCGTAGAGGTACATTTTGGATTTCTTTGACAAAGAGGTGGTACGGACAGGAGATCGTTCAGTACACTTCGGCGCTGCAAGCTTTTAAACTTTTTAAATCAACACTTTTCTTTCATCAAAATAAACGTGTGGAAGGATCAGTGGAATATCAATGAACTGTTCATCCAATACAGTCACTGCAAGTTGACCATCATCAGTCATAGCCAAGTCACATTTTAACAGATGTCTTGCAATTTCACACATTTGGTTATTGTTCACAGACTACATTAAAGACAAGTCCTTCATTTACAATAAACGAAAATTAAGTGAAAGCATTTACTTTTAATCATGAGATCAAGACAGATTTGAGTTTTTGAGGATGAAAGTATTAATTGAGACAATGTAAATCCTTCATTCCATTATGTAGTTAAAATCCAAGGCTTCAAACGTATGCTTTGAGAAACTACAAACTGTATCAAATTCCAGCAGCCTATTTATAAACGTTATTCAATATATTCTTTTCTCAGGTAACACCAGATCTATTGGACACTTACTGAACTGTGTTTTTAATAATAAATTATCTACACAGCATTGATAATCTCCTTGCTGCATAAATATGGGAAATACAACAAGCACAAAGCCTGTCAGGTATTCAGAAAGGTTTAGTTGGGGATCTTGTTGTTTAAAGTACTGAGGAAAGAATTTTCTCAAAGAAGTGATATGCAACAACTAAGAAAAAAGGGGAAAAATTAACCATGTATCATCTTATACAAAGGAATTTCAAACACAGAAGTCTGAATACGCAATACCAGTTTAAAAAAGACACGGAAAGTTAATATTGAACGCAGGAATCTGAAAAGAGATTGAGGAAATTCTGTGACACCTATACCTGGAACGAATCACAAACCGTCACAATGATCAACCAACAAATTAGTGCATCAGAAGTCCCCCAGACATTAAAACACGCTGTCAAAACACTCCAGCACACTGCCGTAGGTTAAAGCTATTTGAAAAGATGCGATTCAACATGGAGGCCTGGGTCGCCATTTGCTAATGTTAGCCGTGCATTGTGATAACAAAGGTTAGAATCAACATGATATTAGTAAGAATCTGTGCCCACAAGACAGTAGGCACCGCAATCGCAGACAGCTGCCATACCTCACCATCATCTTCGTCATCAGTCTGAAAGAGAGATGAGAGGAGGAGAAGGTGGTGAAGAAGAATGCCATAATATACAGGAATAAAAATCAAAAACTAGGAATGTAGTAAAAACAAATTTGCAAACTGGCCTGAAATATAAAGAAGGGACAGAAACACATAATCCACATTACCTGATGGCAGGCAGTACTGATTAGTGCAAGCTAAGCTATAGAGCTAATAACTGAATAAAGTTAATTGCTTTACCCCTTTTATTTACTTTTTGACAACGAAAAAATACAATTCAGCATATACGAGTTGCTCAGATGTCTGTTCAGTCAGAGCTCACTGAAGACTTGTCAATACCCATCTGAATTCACCTAATTTCCTTTTGTGCTGAGCCGAGATAGTGATTTTGCAGCAAACTATGACAATATTGTGCATCCATAGAGTAAATAATCCTCTTGATTTGTGTTTTCCTTTAAATTAGGATATTCCATAGTTTTGATATTTCAAATACGTCAGCAGTGAATTGGAGGTTTTAAGATAAAAAGAACGTGTGGCTTACAATGACTGAAATGGAAAGAGGTCCCAGCACAAAGCATCCAACAGTAATGGCAAAGGCGTCTAGCAAACTACAAAGATGTTTAAATTGGCAGTGGGTCAAGTTAGTATACAAGTTTATAAACATGAGGGATCACTTCAAACTAGAAAATTACTGAAATCCTACACATGTGGGGAAAAAGAGTTGCTAAAAAAAAGAAGTGGCAAGGCTAGCATTTATTGCCCATCCTTAATTCATCTAAAGTAAGTGATTGTGAGCTGCTCTTTGGAACTGCTGCAGTCCATGTGGTATAGTACACATCTGCACTGCTGTTGGGAAGAAGGTCCAAGAACAAATTAAATAGTACAGCTCGGTCATGGACAATGGTTGACAAAGAAAACTCCTATTCCTGATAAATGTGTGCATAAACAGAAGTTGCTGGAAAAGCTCAGCAGGTCTGGCAGCACCTGTGAAGGAAAAATCAGAGTTAACGTTTTGGGTCCGGTGACCCTTCCTCAGAACTGATGGTGGCTGGGAAAACGTCAGTTTATATGTAGAAAAAAGGAAAGGGGGATGAGGTAAGGAGTAAACAATAGGATAGAGCCTAAAGAGAGAGAACAGTTAGACAGACAAAGGAGTTGCTAACGATCAGGCTGGGAGAGTAAATAGTTGTTAATGGGGACTATTAGTGACTAATAACAGGTAGCGTGTAATGGCAGGCTATGTGGTAACAAGGCCTGGTGTGTAGGGTAGGGGGCTGGGACACGGGAGAGTTTAGGCCTTAAAATTGTTGAACTCGATATTGAGATCAGAGACTTGCTTAAGTCTGGGTAGTAATGCGGCTGATAGTGGTTGGTTTAACGTAGAACAAATCAGTGTTTAAGAAAGAAAAAAAACTGGCATTCATATAGCACTTTCATGGTCTTAGGGCATCTTAAAGTACTTTACAACTAAAGAAATTGTGTAATAATGGTAGTAATTTGGCAAGTACAGTTGTCCTGCATAACTTGATGTATAAATAAAACAAGTTGTCAATTAGATCCTAGACACATCAGAGATAAGATGTAAAACTGAACAAAAAACTGAACTTTTGAAATATGTACACGTTTGAGATGGCCAGTAATTCTTCTGTTTAAAAGGAACCTTCAACTGAAACTGAAATAATTCAAAATAGCAGTAACTAAAGCTCATGGTCTCAAACTGCAAACCATGGAATGAATACTGAAGGAATAGTGTCCAAAGCACAAACAATTTGCACACAATGAACAGAGTTCATTTTCACAAATAAACCTAACAAAGCTTCAGACAACTGAAAGGCTGACACTTCCATGCTGATGAACTATAGATAGTTTTGTATATACAATTCTGCCCTTGAGTGGACAAGGAATACTTATCCCTTAACCAATACCTAAGAGCCAAGGATCAGGTCTATCATCTTGTTGCTGTTGTGGAATGTTGCAATAAGAAAATCGGGGGCCGAATTTTGCACACTTCAAAAGGTACTTAATTGACTGTAAAATGTTTTGTAATATTCTGAGGCTGTTTTCAATACAAATACAATTCTTAATTTTGTTCAAAATATTCTTCAGTTCCAGATGTGAAACTGAAGCCATATCTGCCTATTCAGCTAAATCTTAAAGATCCCACGGTGTTATAAGAACGGGAGCAGGGGATTGCACTCAAATTCCACCCAGTGACCTGACCAACATGTGTTCTTTAAGCAACAACATTTGAAATGATTTAAATGCCCAATTAATTCATTGCTCTTTGCAGCATCTTTGAAAATATGTACTGGCTGCACTAATTACCTATAATTTCATTCCTGTGGCATTTAATGGAAGCAAAGCACTGCCCAATCGAGTAAAATACTTCATATAATTGGATTTTTTTTCAATAAATCATTCCAAAGGGGACATTAAGTTGAATTATGAAGAAATTAACATCCAATCTGTTCTCCCATTTGAAAAATTAGCTTCAACAGTGCACCCAGTAACTTTTGGATTATTCAAATATCATTCTAAGTGGATAATTTAAAGATCTGTGTATGAATCCATAACTACCATAACAAGGAGAGCTAGTTATAACCATCAAAAGTATTTTAAAAGTGTACTACCCTTTTGAGGATTTATTTAGTTGGACTGTATTTTCCTTTCACTGTTCAAAGCACTACTTGAGGTTGATAATCTCAGAACCTTTAGAAATGTAGCAAGCAGGGGTTACTATTATTCAATACTTGTAGATCTGAATCTGGATTGAGACATTTTAAAACAATGCTTTAAAAATATTGATACAAAGCAGTACTTTGTCATATACAATAGATGTAACCATTTCTTGAAATAGAAGGCATTAGATCTCTTTTACACGATGAAAAAGCATCACTGTTTTGGCTAACAAACAGTGATAATTCTGTCTGTAGTAAATTCAAAAGATAAGGCAAAACTCTACTCACGCATCATTAAAAAGTCCAGAGAGGGATAACTATGACATAACCTACAGGGCTAACATCTATGGTGAGCAAAATTCTAAAGGCCAAAATTAATTCTCTCTTGTAAATCTGTCAAAATAATAAATTAAAGCTAATTGTAAATTGTGGTTAGTTAACTTAGAGTTCTTAAGGGAAATAAGGCTTCGTGTTTTGTACATGGACTTTTCCGATAGTGTTCAACAAAATGCAACAGAATGGATTGTTAGAAAAACTGCATCTCAAGAGATTAAAGGGGAAGTGGCAACGTAGATACAAAACTAAGGGACACGGAGCATACCATGATGATGGTGGCACAGTGGCTCAGTGGTTAACAGCGCTGCCTCACAGCACCAGGGACTAAGGTTTGAATCCAGCCTCAGGCTTGATTCAAGCTTCAGGCGACTGTCTGTGTGGAGTTTGCACATTCTCCCTGTAACTGTGTGGGTTTCCTCCCACAGTCCAAATATATGCAGCTTAGGTGGATAGGCCATGCGATAGGGGTAGGGCAGTAGGTGTGGGTGGGATGCTCTTCAGAGGTTCGATGTGGACTTGATGGGCCGAATGGCCTGTTTCCACACTACAGAGATTCAATGATGAATGGCCATTTTTCAGACTGGAGAGAAGTATACAGTGATATCTTCCAGGTGATTATATTTAGAGCAATATGTACTGAATGACCTGGACGCGGGTGGACAGAACATACAGTCAATGTCTTGAACATGATACAAAAAAGACATTGTGATGAGGATTGTGGCCGCCTTTTCTTTGGGGGTCGGGTGAGGGGGGCCTTGATTGCTGAAACAGGCTGACACATGGCAAATTTAATGCAGAGGAATATGAAGTGAGAACTTTACACATAAGAACTGAGACGAGAGGCAACATAAACACTATGGTATAATTTTAACGTGGGTGCAGTAACAGATGTTGAGCAGCTCACATACTTTTGAATCTCATAGGACAAGTTGATAATGTTGTGAAATTTCATTTGGGACTTTTGGTTTTGTAAATTGCGACAAAGTACAAAAGGAAAAAAAATCATGCTGAACGCCCACTGATTAGGCCTAAGGTACAGTAGCTAGCCCTATTCCTTGACACCACAGAGTAGCAGAAAAATCAAGGGCCAGGAATGCAAATTATTAAGCTTAAAGGGAATAAGGGTTTCAGTGACATGAAGAGCATACAGAGCTTTTGGCGACGTGTGCATTTAACTGTGATGTCAAAAATTATATAGTAAATAAGAGGAAAATGACAGAACTGTCAATGACCAGAGGGGACAGCTTTAGAACTGGTAATTAAATGACTGGAGATAAGGAAATTATTTTTATCATAGAATCAGAATGCCTACAGTATGGAAAGAGGCCATTCAGCCCATCGAGTCCACAACGATCCTCCGAAGACCATCCCACCCGACGTACCCACTCTATCCCTGTAACCCTGCATTTTCCATGGCTACCCCACCTGGCCTGCACATCCCTGGACACGACGGACAGGTTGCCTTGGCCAATCCACCGTAACCTGCACATCTTTGGACTGTGGGAGGAAGCTGGAGCACAGGGTGGAAACTGGACCACCTGGAGGAAACCCACACAGAGAGGGGGATATCGTGTAAACTTCACACAGACAGGGAGTCAACCAAGGCTGGAATCGAACCATGGTCCCTGGCACTGTGAGGCAGCAGTGCAAACCACTATGCCACCAATTTTTTTTGAATGAACTGTACTGAACAGGGGAAAGCAGGTTCAATGATGATTGAAAGTATCTAGAAGTTCACAGACTTATAGGGACATGTGGAAGCAGCAGGGGTAGTGAGCTGAGGTGGATAGTTTGTGCTATGGTCTGGCTTAGGCATGACACCAGGGTATTTTATCATTTTATGACACCAGGGTATTTTAGAGGATTTTCACTTAAGTCAAGGATACAAGGGAAGCAAGTGAAACAAATGCAGATCTTACTTGTAGACTCAATGCTTTGGGTTAGATCCTGAGAGTCATGAACTCACACTAAATGTGGGAATATTGCACTACACTTCTTGGTAAG